TGTTATATCATTAATAATTAACTTATTTCATTTGTAGTTAACTAGTTAAGTATTTAAATCAAGGTTCTTCAACTGGGGGTCCATGCGGCGATACTACAGGGGGTCCGTGAATTAATATTTGATCACAAATAATTTTGTTAAAAAAGTAAAAACATGGGTAAAAATCATCATAAAGTAAAATATAAATATAAGCACCCTGAAACGAAAGCAAGGACACCCTCAGATAATAATGTAATATAATATTATTCTTGGAACAGATTTAGCAAATGCTCCATTGTTTTTGAGACTCTGCTCCAGAGAACGTGAAATGGTCCTTTTTACAGTGTGTTTTTGCAGCGTTAAGAAACTTAGCAAACCACACACGTTTGTTGATCTACAATGCAATGGCCAATCAGAAGTGTTAGAATAAGTCACCGCTCAAAACGCTGCAGTTTTTGTTCAAAAGTGCTGCCTGCTCACTCTAATCCAGTGTTGCCAAGTCCGCGATTTTCCTGTGGAATTGGGCCACTTTAACACTGTTGCCATGGGTTGTTTTCCATGTCCGCGGGTTGAAGCAACCCCAATAATGTGATATTTAGCCCCTAAAGAAAGAAAGAAAGAAAGAAAGAAAGAAAGAAAGAAAGAAAGAAAGAAAGAATTTCATTTTTACTTACCCTGTTAATATTTTCTCTGGCCCTGCCTCAAAAAATAGTTGCTGTTATTTTGTTTTTTTGTTTTGTTTTGTTTGACCCATGTTATCTTTTATTCTAATAAATTACATGAGGACCAACATTTTAGATACCAATTCAATTTGACAATTATTAATTCAAATTTTCATAACAGCAAAAATTACAAGCATAACAAATATAAAGTCAATCATTAAAGTTAAGTGAACAGTCAGTAAATAAGAACAAATGAACAAATCACAAGCAATTGACTATATGCAAGGTTACTTCCTGGTTTTATATAAGCCAGCTCAGTCATTTCCGGTCAACTGTCAAAACCAGCTGTGCCCTTTGCTTGGTTTCTCTACATAATCCATTCACAAATTGAAGAAAGGTTTTATTTGTCTAAGAGGACCAAACGTCCATGTATACAGTTTCAGGAATGACAAAAGCGAGTGAATCCAAAATAAAACATCTGATGAGCCGATGGCAAAAAACAGAGCTGTGCATTAAGTGATTCAGACTAAATTCAGAGTAACAAAACTACAACAGCAACAAGTCTGTTGGCTGAATGTATTTAGCAGCTTCTACAGTTAAATATAAAACTTAAAAATGTAGTTTTAAAATTAAATCTAAAAAAAAATGTACAAATATTCAATGCATTATTATTTAATTGTTATATCATTAATAATTAACTTATTTCATTTGTAGTTAACTAGTTAAGTATTTAAATCAAGGTTCTTCAACTGGGGGTCCATGCGGCGATACTACAGGGGGTCCGTGAATTAATATTTGATCACAAATAATTTTGTTAAAAAAGTAAAAACATGGGTAAAAATCATCATAAAGTAAAATATAAATATAAGCACCCTGAAACGAAAGCAAGGACACCCTCAGATAATAATGTAATATAATATTATTCTTGGAACAGATTTAGCAAATGCTCCATTGTTTTTGAGACTCTGCTCCAGAGAACGTGAAATGGTCCTTTTTACAGTGTGTTTTTGCAGCGTTAAGAAACTTAGCAAACCACACACGTTTGTTGATCTACAATGCAATGGCCAATCAGAAGTGTTAGAATAAGTCACCGCTCAAAACGCTGCAGTTTTTGTTCAAAAGTGCTGCCTGCTCACTCTAATCCAGTGTTGCCAAGTCCGCGATTTTCCTGTGGAATTGGGCCACTTTAACACTGTTGCCATGGGTTGTTTTCCATGTCCGCGGGTTGAAGCAACCCCAATAATGTGATATTTAGCCCCTGGAATGTGAATTTTACCAGGGGAACCCTACCAAAAACATGTATTTTACGTGTATTTTAGCCCCCGGAATGCAATTGGGCTAGTTCTGGGATAGTTTTGTGTAGCAATTGGGCGGGTTTTGTTGTGAAAACCTGGCAACCCTGCTCTAATCCTCTCGCATTAAAGACACAACATAAGTAAGAGATTCATTATGCAGTGTAGACAACTTTATTGATTTTAATGGAACGTTGTGAGATCATGAACTGAGATGAGTGACAGCTTTCTAGTGATTGTAAAGTGAGCGGTCTTTCGCACTTACGAGGCTATACAGCTATAAACCACTGAATAAATTTATTGTTTTTCATGCTGACAAGAGAAACGATGGCCAATTACACGCTACAAAGTTTTGGAAATGACAACTATAGATAAATGCGAGATTCACTATCTAAACTCCAATCGACGGTAATACTAGCATGGGACAAAAATATGGCTAGTCAAGATGCACACAATATAAATGCAGACTAATAAATTACTGAAAAAAATCCCATCAATATATATTTTTTAAAAATCCATTCCAATTATTTCTAAAAGTAATGACTATAATCTATTTCTCACTATACGTTGCTGTTCTTGTAATGGTGGAGCCGTTGCTTATATATTTGGCTACATCTGGACTTTACTAGAGAACTCTCAATTTTAGAGACTTAATAATTTGATTAAAAAGTAATATGTGAAGTTTTACTAAACTTGAAGATAAAGTTCAAATAAATATTTATTTGTCCATTGACAGTAAAATTAAAATGTGAATTTTTAATAAATTTGTAGCTCAAGTTCAGGTAAATGCAGTGGTGTAATGTAACAAAGTAATAATACTTCGTTACTGTACTTAAGTATTTTTTGGGAGTCTCTGTACTTTACTGAGTTTTTATATTTCAGCCAACTTTTACTTTACGACATTTCCTAATTAAAATGTATACTTTTACTCCGATACATTTCGCCGAAGCATATTCGTTGCTTAGGCTACTACAAAATAGTCAGAAGTCAGAAGAACACGGACTGCAGGAAAGCAGGTTTGACGAATCAGTGGTCTGGCGTCTGCAAGTTAGACTCCTAAAAACACCTTTGCTCATGTGCAAACAAGTGCGCACACAACCACGGATGGTTCATTATTCACTCAAGTCGAGTCTGGGGTGTGCTGTACGATACAGCATCGTCTGCGATAATATGGTAAGTGTTGTTGTAATGATGTGCGATCTGACATTATCAAGTAGGCTATATCACCAGAGTGCACGCACGTTGATTTATTAATCTATTAAGACTCAAAATTCGAGGCATTCTAAATTGTAGATGGCAAAAATGCTTCTGTATGCTTTTTATAT